CCTAAGAATTCTTAACTTTGATCGTAGCATATGTGTTTAGAATGGGCTTAAGAAGTTCGTAGGGCTACGAACGTTTAAAGAATAGCTAGCCTGATACTTTACTTCTACGAAGATTATACTTTACTTCTACAAAGATGATACTTTATTTCTACGAAGATGATACTTTACTTCTAGGAAGATTTTCCTTTACTTCTACAAAGATGATACTTTACTTCTATTTCTACCTCTACCAAGATGATACCTTGATACTTTACTTCTACAAAGATGATACTTTATTTCTACGAAGATGATACTTTACTTCTACGAAGATTTTACTTTATTTCTACAAAGATGATACTTTATTTCTACGAAGATGATATTTTACTTCTACGAAGATTTTACTTTATTTCTACAAAGATGATACTTTACTTCTACGAAGATTTTACTTTATTTCTACCAAGATGATAATTTACTTCTACGAAGATGATACTTTATTTCTACCAAGATGATACTTTACTTCTACGAAGATGATACTTTATTTCTACGAAGATGGTACTTTACTTCTACGAAGATTTTACTTTATTTCAACAAAGATGATACTTTATTTCTACGAAGATGATATTTTACTTCTACGAAGATTTTACTTTATTTCTACAAAGATGATATTTTACTTCTACGAAGATTTTACTTTATTTCTACAAAGATGATACTTTACTTCTACGAAGATTTTACTTTATTTCTACGAAGATGATACTTTACTTCTACGAAGATTTGACTTTATTTCTACAAAGATGATACTATACTTCTACAAAGATGATACTTTACTTCGAAGATGATACTTTACTTCTAGGAAGATTTTCCTTTACTTCTACAAAGATGATACTTTATTTCTACCAAGATGATACTTTACTTCTACGAAGATGATACTTTATTTCTACGAAGATGATACTTTACTTCTACGAAGATTTTACTTTATTTCTACAAAGATGATACTTTATTTCTACGAAGATGATATTTTACTTCTACGAAGATTTTACTTTATTTCTACAAAGATGATACTTTACTTCTACGAAGATGATACTTTACTTCTAAAAAGATGATACTTTATTTCTACAAAGATGATACTTTACTTCTACGAAGATTTTACTTTATTTCTACGAAGATGATACTTTACTTCTACGAAGATTTGACTTTATTTCTACAAAGATGATACTATACTTCTACGAAGATGATATTTTACGAAGATGATACTTTACTTCTACGAAGATTTTCCTTTACTTCTACAAAGATGATACCTTATTTCTACCAAGATGATACTTTACTTCTACGAAGATGATACTTTACTTCTACGAAGATGATACTTTACTTCTACAAAGATGATACTTTATTTCTACAAAGATGATACTTTACTTCTACGAAGATTTTACTTTATTTCTACGAAGATGATACTTTACTTCTACGAAGATTTTACTTTATTTCTACGAAGATGATACTTTACTTCTACGAAGATTTGACTTTATTTCTACAAGGATGATACTTTACTTTCTACGAAGATTGTACTTTACTTCTACAAAGATTATACTTTATTTCTACAAAGATGATACTCTATTTCTACCAAGATGATACTTACTTCTAGGAAGACGATACTTTATTTCTACTAAGATGATACTCTATTTCTACCAAGATGATACTTTACTTCTACGAAGACGATACTTTACTTCTACAAAGATGATACTTTATTTCTACGAAGATGATACTTTACTTCTACAAAGATGATACTTTACTTCTACGAAGATGATACTTTACCTCTACAAAGATGATACTTTACCTCTACAAAGATGATACTTTATTTCTACAAAGATGATACTCTATTTCTACAAAGATGATACTCTATTTCTACGAAGATGATACTTTACTTCTACAAAGATGATACTTTACTTCTACAAAGATGATACTTTATTTCTACTAAGATGATATTTTACTTCTACGAAGATTTTACTTTATTTCTACAAAGATGATACTTTACTTCTACAAAGATGATACTTTACTTCTACAAAGATGATACTTTATTTCTACAAAGATGATACTTTACTTCTACGAAGATTTTACTTTATTTCTACAAAGATGATACTTTACTTCTACGAAGATGATACTTTACTTCTACAATGATGATACTTTATTTCTACAAAGATGATACTTTACTTCTACGAAGATTTTACTTTATTTCTACGAAGATGATACTTTACTTCTACGAAGATTTTACTTTATTTCTACAAAGATGATACTTTACTTCTACGAAGATTTTACTTTATTTCTACGATGATGATACTTTACTTCTAGGAAGATTTGACTTTATTTTTCTACAAGGATGATACTTTACTTCTACGAAGATTGTACTTTACTTCTACAAAGATTATACTTTATTTCTACAAAGATGATACTCTATTTCTACCAAGATGATACTTACTTCTAGGAAGACGATACTTTATTTCTACTAAGATGATACTCTATTTCTACCAAGATGATACTTTACTTCTACGAAGACGATACTTTACTTCTACAAAGATGATACTTTATTTCTACGAAGATGATACTTTACTTCTACAAAGATGATACTTTACTTCTACGAAGATGATACTTTACCTCTACAAAGATGATACTTTACCTCTACAAAGATGATACTTTATTTCTACAAAGATGATACTCTATTTCTACAAAGATGATACTCTATTTCTACGAAGATGATACTTTACTTCTACAAAGATGATACTTTACTTCTACAAAGATGATACTTTATTTCTACGAAGATGATATTTTACTTCTACGAAGATTTTACTTTATTTCTACAAAGATGATACTTTACTTCTACAAAGATGATACTTTACTTCTACAAAGATGATACTTTATTTCTACAAAGATGATACTTTACTTCTACGAAGATTTTACTTTATTTCTACGAAGATGATACTTTACTTCTACGAAGATTTGACTTTATTTCTACAAAGATGATACTTTACTTCTACGAAGATTTTACTTTATTTCTACGAAGATGATACTTTACTTCTACGAAGATTTGACTTTATTTCTATAAAGATGATACTTTACTTCTACGAAGATTTTACTTTACTTCTACAAAGATTATACTTTATTTCTACAAAGATGATACTCTATTTCTACCAAGATGATACTTACTTCTACGAAGACGATACTTTATTTCTACGAAGATGATACTCTATTTCTACCAAGATGATACTTTCCTTCTACGAAGACGATACTTTACTTCTACAAAGATGATACTTTATTTCTACGAAGATGAAAGATGATACTTTACTTCTACGAAGATGATACTTTACTTCTACAAAGATGATACTTTATTTCTACAAAGATGATACTTTACTTCTACGAAGATTTTACTTTATTTCTACGAAGATGATACTTTACTTCTACGAAGATTTTACTTTATTTCTACAAAGATGATACTTTACTTCTACGAAGATTTTACTTTATTTCTACGAAGATGATACTTTACTTCTACGAAGATTTGTCTTTATTTCTATAAAGATGATACTTTACTTCTACGAAGATTTTACTTTATTTCTACAAAGATGATACTATACTTCTACAAAGATTATACTTTATTTCTACAAAGATGATACTCTATTTCTACCAAGATGATACTTACTTCTACGAAGACGATACTTTATTTCTACGAAGATGATACTCTATTTCTACCAAGATGATACTTTCCTTCTACGAAGACGATACTTTACTTCTACAAAGATGATACTTTATTTCTACGAAGATGATACTTTACTTCTACAAAGATGATACTTTACTTCTACAAAGATGATACTTTATTTCTACGAAGATGATACTTTACTTCTACAAAGATGATACTCTATTTCTACAAAGATGATACTCTATTTCTACGAAGATGATACTTTACTTCTACAAAGATGATACTTTACTTCTACAAAGATGATACTTTATTTCTACGAAGATGATACTTTATTTCTACGAAGATGATACTCTCATGCTTATGGGGGATACTTAATTCATGTAACCTACACATTTATCCTGTGATCGGCATTGATCACTTATCTCTCTTGTAACCTACGGCTCAAATTATATCTTATTTAACGTTTAACGTCTCACAACGATAGTTTCAGCCATTTAGCATTCTGGTTTAGTAAATAATGAACGATTTGTTTGACTTCAACCGTGATGTGTAAATACTGAGGTACTATCAAAGCACTCAGTATAGTAACTCTTCATTTGAATGCGTAGTTCTAAAGTTTGTTAGGGTGAAAATGTTAGTGCGCAGGGTGAGGATGGTGAGTTGCAGAAATTGTCTAGTAAGACTATTTCTGTTGAGGTTAGCAAGGTTCCAGTCTGTTATTACGTCAAGGTACAAACTTGAATACTTTCAAATGGCTACAGTTATGAATATAGTAAAACCGCCTAATGAATATGTTTGACTAACATGTTCCCAAACATAACTTATATAGTTAAATAAACTATATTAAAGGCTTGGATCGGAATTTTATAACGTAACGATACGTACGATTATAATATCATATATTGAGATGAAAGTATCTTCTAGATAGATGTTATTATCTTCCCATAGATGAACATTCATTGTATCTTCTGGGACTGTGGCTCCAATACGCTTTCATGAATTGTATCTCATATAGGGATATCAGTTTTATTCCCGTGACATCAGTATTGCTTCATATAGACTGATTTTCTTGACTACAAAAAATGCGTGTTCAAGGAGAATGTTTCTGATGGTAAAATATCTGGTGATATGGGGTTCCAGTACAAATGAGATTGGTGTGGCTTTGGGAACGCTCCATCACTACAATTCCTTGTCCAATTTCAGTTTTCGTAATCCAGTTTGGAAAATATTAGAGGCATGATATCCGACTGAAGTTAAAAATGGAAGAAAGTGAATAGGCTTTCTTTCTTATGAATAACAAATCAAGAGTTAACAATAATGGAACAAGTTAAGAAAGGCCGTCTTTGCGACCTACATGAATAGTCCGGGAAGTGTTCCTAATTTTTAGCTTACTGTGGTGTGTTTTTCTTTTGGCGCTTCTTCGTCTTGTAATTGAGCGACGTGCATATTTTGCCGTCTTGATAAGAAGTACTCACCGACCCTTCTACGATAGCGCACTAGAACTATGATAATGATCACAATCACACCCACGACAGACAATCCGACTGCGAGGCCCGTAGTGTTGTCTGGATCTCCAGGGGGGACACGCTGTCCACCGTTGGTGGTGTTGGTGTTGTAGACGTCTCTGGTGCAGTATTTCCAGGGCTGGAGTTGGGTGTTTCTGAAACAAGGGAAGGGTAATTAATTTCTGAACAAAACCACATTGTTTATTCTTCTATTGTAATGAAGTAACCCATGCTTGCCGTAAGAGGCGAGTAACGGGATTGAGTGGTCAGGCTCGCGTAGATCGATGCTCATGCTGTTGATCACTGGTTTGTGATACTTACTTCTAGGAGAAGACTCGGTTATTTACAGACCGCCGTCATATAGCTGGAATATTGCTGAGTGCGGCGTAAAACTAAACTCACTCACTCTCTTGTAATGAAAACATCTTGCTCATACCCATTAAAGAATCGCCATAAGTGAGTAAGTGACTGAGTGAGTGAGTGACTTTATAGTTTTACGCTGCTTTTAGCAATATTCCTGCAATATCACGACGGGGGACAACAGAAATGGGCTTCACATATTATACCCATTTGGGGAATCAAACCCGGGTCTTCGACGTGACGAGCAAACACTTTAACCACTAGGCTACCTCACCGCACCGACTCACCACGAAGAGTGGAGAGCATTTGTGGAAATAGAAAACAAGATTCAATTTAATATAAGACATTTGTTTCTTTGGGTTCTGTGTACTGAGTTAAATCACATAGCCTATTGTACAATTTCTGTAGCATACTTGGCATAACAGAGGGATTAGCTCCGAAGTTGGCGTGTAGAAACAATGAATATGGAAGAAAGAGGAAAGAATACAGACCAACACTATTTCCAGAACCCCCACACCCACCCCCACCCCACCCACTGTGGCTTTCACAAAAGTATACTGGTAATTTAGATGTCATACTATTGAATAGAATGTGTAATCACCGGCAGTAGCTGTTGATTGGGATCTTTCAGTTAGAGTTGATGTTATGGTAGCTGCCTCTGCGGAAAGAGAAAAAAAATGCATGCATCAATTTCCAAAGTAACATGTTAATATTATAGATAGTATTATAATTTGTTTATAATACTGACATTTTGGAAATATAAGCACCATTTCCATATATAAATGAACCTTATAGTCAGCACCTAAGTGATGTACATTTCTCTTTTATGTATTACTTTCACATTGAAGTAAACAGCTGGTTTGCATTTCGTCTTCTGGTCTTGTGACCTTCGTTTTCCTATCAATAAGACAAAACATTTTCAACGGTCTTCGGTGTGACGAGCGATCACTTGAACCACAAAGACATCCCACCACCAACGAGACACGAAGAACAGTTTCAGGGTCTCGATCCACAAAGCATTCGTAGCGCTACGACATTCGTAAGCATAGTTAAATATAGAGTTACGACAGATCGTAACGTTACGCTCTGTGGATCCGGATCCTTGCATCATTAGTCAGTGCAGAAATATAAACACGTGTATAAAAATTGTACGAACCACTCAGTCTGTTAACACCATCGCAGGTAATCATCGTTGTGATGTTGCCACACACGAGGCTAACGCCGACGTCCCCAAAACGATCAGTTGTGACGGGGAAGTATGATTGTAAGGATACATCCACGATATCGTCCATTGTCTGGTTCTGTGGCAGCGTCTGGGTAATGGTCCCAGTAGTCAGGAGGACTCTAGCTTGTTGAGGACAGTAGAAGCTCTTGATGTCAACTACCAGAGTCAGGTTAGTTCCAGGTTCCAGAGAAGCCGTGTACTTATCACTCGTGATGGTACACTGAGGTGGACCTGGTTATAATATATACAGTGTACATGTATCCCAGCAATGTTATGCGAACGTAATGAATCTCACACCAAATACATAACATTAACAGCAATAAAAAGTAACACCTTCAAATACCTTTTGACAAACCTAAGGGTCAAGTGGTAAAATGAATAAAATGTTGAAGAGTATATACGAAAATGTTAAAGTGTGTGTAAGGAATAAGCATGAATTATCTGAATCATTTATTAGTGAACTAGACAAGGATGTATTTTAAGCCCTTTCTTTTTTATGGTTTTCATTAATGAATTGGCAATGCAAATATGTGACACTTGTACGAACCCAACTACACACAGATACAATACAACTATTTCTACTACTCCTGCCGATGATATTGTATTATTCCATAGTACTGTTAGCGGTTTACAGAAACAAATCAGTATACATTTTGTGTAAACAGAGACAAAACCAAAATTATCGTCTTTAAGAAAGGTGGAAACAATTCTAAATTAGAAAAATGGTATTACAAAGGGCAACTACTCCAAACTACCAGTGTATAGAAGTACCTTGGCGTATGTTGCTCTAATAGCCTTTCCTGGTCCAAACACACAAAACAAGCGTCAGTACAAGCTTTGAAAATCTTAATCGGTGTTTGTAAAAATATGAGATCTTTTGGTGAAATATCCTTTAACACATTCTTTAAAATATTCGATATGAAGGTAAGCCCAATACCTTTATGTGGCTCTGAAATATAGGGATTACAACAATGTGACAGTATTAAAAGTTTTCATTTATATGCATGCAAAAAGCGTATTGGTGTAAAACCGAACACATGTAATATTATGGTTTACGGAGAATTATGTAGATTTCCATTGTTTATATATTCCTCCATTAAAGCCATAAAGTATTGGGTAAGATTACTGCATATCCCATGCCATAGGTTTCCGGAAAAATGATATGATATGATGAAATTGTATGACGAAAATTGGAAAAGAAATTGGGTGACTGATATTAGAGATTTGTTGTGCAAAACAGGTTATTGTTATGTATGGTGTGATCACAATGTTCAGTGCCACGAAGATTTTATCATATCATTTACACCAAGAATGAAAGATTTGTATTTCCAATCTTGGTTGGAATCATTACTTCTATCAACAAAATGTTTATACAATAATCAATGGAAATCGGATATACGTTTTGATGACTATTTAGCAAAAATCGACGTTAACAAGTTTCGTCTATCTCTCTCTCGTTTTCGTTGCTCTTCCCATTAATTATTTATTGAAACTGGCACATATGCAGGTGTGCACAGAGAAAACAGAATATGTCAATTATGTAATATGAATACTGTTGAAGATGAACTACTTTTCCTTCTAATCTGCCCTGTTTATACGACTCTACGAACGAAATACCTAAAGCCATACTATTATAAGCATCCAAGTGTAAGAACATTGATTTCACTGTTAACAGATACTACCTCATCATTATTACAGAATCTGGCAATGTACAACTAGTTCGCTATGAGTTTAAGAAAACGAATTGTTTTAGAAAAGAATTTGTAAATGACTTCTGACTACTCATGTAAACTTTAAATGTACTACAGACTTGTGGCCTTTTTAAGAACTGAATAAAGGTTTATTGACTACAGTATGAACACAGTTTATCATAATAACAACCATAAACATACATAACAATACATTTCAAGCAGGGGTATGAGATCATCAACATTCAAAACTAGGCTACCGGCAAAGGCACCAGAGGGACGAGGATGTCTTTCAATCCCGCATGGTCAAAATATTTAATATACGGACAGGTTTAGTGATATTGATGACGCTGAACACACCGGAAAGTTTATTGTATAATCCAAATTCGTTCTGTCTCAGAATTAGCAAGGAAATGTCACCGAAAATGGACATGAATACAATAAACTATGTTTATAACGAACACGTTTATAACTCGTGGTTAATACAAACAATTTTTGCGTCTTTGCTACTGGGCAGTGGGGTAGCCTAGTGGGTAAAGCGTTGGCTCGTCACACCGAAGACCCGGGTTCGAATCTCCACATCGGTACAATGTGTGAAGCCCATTCTGGTGTTCCCCGCCGTGATATTGCTGGACTATTGCTTACAGCGGCGTAAAACCAAACTCAATCAGTCAGTCAGTCAGTCTTTGCTACTTCTTGTTTCTCTTAGTCGAAATGGGTTTAACCAACTATGGTTGTAACGAAGTTAAGTCAGCGGTCCCTTAGGGGTTCGTTACAACCGTAGTTTACTATAGATGACGACTTGAATTTCAACTTACTTTTCTGTAGCCTCTTCACCCCTCCACAAGTCAGAGGACGCCGTCCGTCACATGTAAAGTCCAGTGTTACATCACCTAATCGTGTGATGTCTACACTGAAGGTCGTGTTGATGGTTAAGTCTGTTACAACACTGACGTTGTGTCTTATCCCCAACTCTTCAGTCACATCACTAGTAGTGAGATCAAAGCCAGTCTCCACAGAACAGTAGTAGCCTGTAATGTCCACCGTCAGAGTCAGCTGTGTTCCAGGTTCCAGGGAGTCGGTGTCCTCGTCACTGCTGATGCTGCACTGTGGGATATCTGATAGCAGGACAATATGGAGTAACGGAAGTAAAAACCACATGAAGACTTGGGCATTTCACTCAAACATTGACATAGTTTATAAAGTTACTCAAAATTCCATTACTTTCTCAATGTATATGATACTAGTATTACCATTGTGTCTTAGAAATGCAAAGTGAAAACTGCTCGTCAAAGTGATGATATATGTTGTATATTCTGACGGCATGGATGATTGTAGCAATAGTTACTATGGTAACTGTAGGATACCTTGATCGTTAAATTGACCAATGACGCGTTCGTTTATACGTTATTTTGTTCCATCTATTTGGACATGTTCTGAATGTACTTTGAAAGTTGCATTTTGAAAAATCTTTTTCAGTGTTTCTGGATGTAGACTGTTTTATTCTATTGTTCCTATTGTCTGACCTCTAAAACAGAATTTGGTGAACATGGTCCCAGTGACTGCTACATCTATAAACATGTATATCCAAAATTATACAGTATCACATATCAAGTTATGCAATATAATTAAACTGTAAACGTCACATCTAATTTATCAATTTGCTTGGAACAAATGCTCATAATACGTGTTTTCATACATTGTCGAATACAGTTATCAAAATTGACTGTTATTTTGTTTCCGGCCAAAGATGTTCGTATCATGCATAAGTGAACCGCCTCAAAATTATGTTTGCAAATTTGGCAACACCGTTTTAGTCAGTCTATGACTTTGTGTCAGACGTTAGAAAATCAGAAACAATGTAAAGACAACAACCAATCAGATAACCTCAGTCTGGTTTGATGGTGGGGGAAGACAACCAATCAGATAGCCACAGTCTGGTCTGATGGTGGGGAAGACAACCAATTAGATAGCCACAGTCTGGTCTGATGGTGGGGGAGGACAACCAATCAGATAGCCACGGTCTGGTCTGATGGTGGGGAATACAACCAATCAGATAGCCACAGTCTGGTCTGATGGTGGGGGAAGACAACCAATCAGATAGCCAAAGTCCGGTCTGATGGTGGGGGAGACAACCAATCAGATAGCCACAGTCTGGTCTGATGGTGGGAAAGACAACCAATTAGAAAGCCACAGTCTGGTCTGATGGTGGGGAATAGAACCAATCAGATAGCAACAGTCTGGTTTGATGGTGGGGGAAGACAACCAATCAGATAGCCACGGTCTGGTCTGATGGTGGGAGAAGACAACCAATCAGATAGCCACGGTCTGGTCTGATGGTGGGGGAAGACAACCAATCAGATAGCCACGGTCTGGTCTGATGGTGGGGGAAAACAACCAATCAGATAGCCACAGTCTGGTCTGATGGTGGGGGAAGACAACCAATCAGATAGCCACGGTCTGGTCTAATGGTGGGAGAAGACAACCAATCAGATAGCCAGGGTCTGGTCTGATGGTGGGGGAGACAACCAATCAGATAGCCACGGTCTGGTCTGATTGTGGTGGAAAACAACCAATCAGATAGCCACAGTCTGGTCTGATGGTGGGAGAAGACAACCAGTCTGATAGCCACGGTCTGGTCTGATGGTTGGAGAAGACATTCAAAACTCAAAACATTATTAGGCTTTATGGATAACATATTATATAATGTATTATGTAACGCTTTGATAGATTCTTATACCGTTGTCAAGCAATTTGTTCTTACTTAATACCTGCTAGATGTACATGAGTCGGTTCTGCGTTATATTACTTTACTCTTGCTTGACAACGGTATACGAATCTATACCGAAACGTCGCATCATAATACAACAAAGAAGCTGTTGTTCATAAAGTAGTGTACCTTTTCTTATTATTCATCAACTTCTAAAATACCAATTAAACAGATCACTCAACACTCACCGACTGCCGTCAGTTGACACACTTCGACAGGAGTGGCATCCACTACTTTTGCATCCACGATCTTCCATGTACCAGCATCTGCAGCTCTAATATTCTCAATAGTAAGCGTGGAGTTTGTGGTGTTCATCGTTGCTCTGTATCCTGCAGTAGGGCTGCAGCCGGGGTTGCAGGTGACGACGTATCGGCCATCAGGTCGAACCCACACGAAGCCTGTATAGTTGCTTCTGTCAACTACAATGGTGTACTCTGTTTCAAGGTGACCAGCTCCGCCCGGACACGTGGAATCCACTTGTGAGGGATCTGCAATGAAAGGCAGAGTGCTGTTCATGTATATACACTACCCGTTCTTGATAGCAGTGTCAGCTTCTATTAAAATGCCTTGTATAGATATGAAGTTATTGAACCACAGTACTGAGCCTTTGAGAGTGAGAGAGAGAGAGAGAGAGAGAGAGAGAGAGAGAGAGAGAGAGAGAGAGAGAGAGAGAGAGAGAGAGAGAGAGAGAGAGAGAGAGAGAGAGAGAGAGAGAGAGAGAGAGAGAGAGAGAGAGAGAGAGAGAGAGAGAGAGAGACTAAACATCAATCTATGTAACTGGGATATTATGATATGAAACACCAAGTCAGCGAGCCTGATCACCCGATCCCGTCAGTCGCCTCTTACTACAAACATGAGTTACTAAAGACCAATATTAACCTGGATCTTCACGGGTCTGGTTAATTGATTGTATTACGGGAATTGTAATACGGGAACTGGTTACATGTAATTATCTTGCAATATCTCTCATATAATATCCACAGTAGCTACACCTGATGCAGACTAGATTATTGGTATAGACAGAGCAGGGTATTGCTTCAAAACACAATCAAACAAGGGCTGAAACCGGACAAGGGGTGACTACTTGTCGCAGTTTACAAACAAGGCTGCTGCATAGATCGTTACAACTTAGCCAGCGGTAAGCCTGCTGTTTGCGCAATGATGACAGCTTAACAAGCCGATGAACTGTTTGAAGCAAACTGTACTTGTCGGACCATTATCAGATATCGTACTAATATTTGCTACTACAACCAAGAACCGCACCCGAGGCCGCTCCACTCAGGCTGCGCGCTCACCTCGGCGACCCCAGTACACGTTGTGACTCCTACTCGTTGCGAACTACCTTGAAGTGCTTCATGCCGATAACAAAACAAACAAAGTCATTCCCAGTGCTTCGGAATTGGGGATTATTATGTCCATATTCCCAGGTATGGCTGCGTTTCAGTTATTCGTATTCAATCGTGGAATCACTGGTCTTCGGAGAGATTCACGGAATTGGGTGCCGCTTCACACGTGAATTATAATGACTCAGCCTGTTATTTAAATGGTGAATGCTAGTATGTTTTAGCTTGTATGTTTAAACTTGACGACGATACTATACGGAAACAATAATCTAATCGTAACAGAAATGGCGGATAATCTGTACCTCATGAATTCGGGGTTGCAAGTTTGACCTTTTAGTCAGTTAAGTTAAGGGAATACCTGTACTTGGAAAAGGCGTTGTTGTTGCTGTTGTTGTTGTTGTTGCTGTTGTTGTTGTTGTTGTTGTTGCTGTTGTTGTTGGGGTTGTTGTTGTTGTAGTTGTTGTTGCAAACACGATTGTCTCTGTTGTTTCCGTTGATGGCGTCACTGTTGGGAAAATGTCAAATTATTGTCCACCATATCTGGTAAAGACAGTTTGCAACTAGTACTACTCCACTGTTATGATAGATCATAGGAAAACGATTCAAAGTAGAAATAAAATGAATATGACAAGAAATGAGAACAGCTATGTGATGTCTCCTAATGCCTTTGTTGTGTATTTATTTGTGGATGAGCATGAATGCCATCTACCTTCATCTTCGGTCATATCTACAGCCACCACTAATTGTGTGCCATCTGACATTAAAATATGGAGACCGACATATTATACTGACTCCGAGACCACCAGTCCTTGTTGTACCCATTAATGCCGAGCGTAAGGCAGGGACCAACAAGTACCATATTTTAACGTCTTTTTGTATGACGCGGACGGGGATCGAACCCGCGACCTTCCACTCTTCCCACGCTCTACCCACTACACCACGGAGGCGGTCTCTCATTGATCTAACGACTGACTGACTGACTGAGTTTTAGTTTTACGCCGCTTTTAGCAATATTCCAGCAATATCACGGCGGGGGACACCAGAAATGGGCTTAATTGATCTAACGAAAACATACACATGTAAACTATTCATATGCTAGCATGCTTGTACCAACAAGAGACTGCCGCGGTTTGATGTACCTCATTAATGTTCATACATAAATAGAGTGGCAGTGTCGAATTATGTCATTAGGTTCTTGAATTCCCACAAAAATGGAATTAGAGCATTGAAAGGTTTTTTAAGTTCTGCTCCGGAAACGAGCACTACCACCAATTTCAGTCAAAGTAAAACTTGTCGCCACGAAACAGCAAAAAATATTTTAGTCAGAAAACCCAAACTACCAAAAAGAACCAGGGGCCCTATTCTCGAAACGTTCGTAGCCCTAAGAATTTTTAACTTTGACCGTAGCCAATGTCTTAGGAATGGGCTTAAGAAGTTCGTAGGGCTACGTTTCGAGAATAGCTAGCCTGTTCACCATCAGACCTATCTATGTGCCAAGTTTGGTGACGAGATTTTTTATGGTTTTTGTGTTCTGCTCCGGAAAAGACGAATTTGCACGGACGTACGCAGTCCAAAATGCTTCTGCCTTATCCTTTTCTGTGTGTTCCACTTTATCCTTTACTTACTGCCAGTAACTACCCTAGCCTATATATACCCTGGTATATATGCTCTGTTTTATCCTTTACTCCCTCCCAGTGCCATTCCTGGTATATATGCTGTGTTTTGTCCTTTACTCCCTCCCAGAGTCATCCCTGGTATATATGCTCTGTTTTGTCCTTTACTCCCTCCCAGTGCCATCTCTGGTATATATGCTCTGCTTTATCCTTTACTCCCTCCCAGTGCCATCCCTGGTATATATGCTCTGCTTTGTCCTTTACTCCCTCCCAGTGCCATCCCTGGTATATAAGCTCTGTCTTGTCCTTTACTCCCTCCCAGAGACATCCCTGGTATATATGCTCTGTTTTGTCCTTGACTCCCTCCCAGTACCATCCCTGGTATATATGCTCTGCTTTGTCCTTTACTCCCTCCAATGCCATCCCTGGTTAATATGCTCTGCTTTGTCCTTTACTCCCTCCCAGTGCCATTCCTGGTATATATGCTCTGTTTTGTCCTTTACTCCCTCCCAGTGCCATCCCTGTTTTATATGCTCTGCTTTGCCCTTTACTCCCTCCCAGTGCCATCCCTGGTATATATGCTCTGCTTTGTCCTTTACTCCCTCCCAGTGCCATCCCTGGTATATATACTCTGCTTTGTCCTCTACTCCCCTCATAGTGCCATCCCTGGTATATATACTCTGCTTTGTCCTTTACTCCCTCCCAGTGCCATCCCTGGTATATATGGTCTGCTTTGTTCTTTACTCCCTCCCAGTACCATCCCTGGTATATATGCTCTGTTTTGTCCTTTACTCCCTCATTTGTCCTTTACTCCCTCCCAGTGCCATTCCTGGTATATATGCTCTGCTTTGTCCTTTACTCCCTCCCAGTGCCATCCCTGGTATATATGCTCTGCTTTGTCCTTTACTCCCTCCCAGTGCCATCCCTGGTATATATGCTCTGCTTTGTCCTTTACTCCCTCCCAGTGCCATCCCTGGTATATATGCTCTGCTTTGTCCTTTACTCCCTCCCAGTGCCATCCCTGGTATATATACTCTGCTTTGTCCTTTACTCTCTTCTAGTTGAGGGGGTAATAAAAGTCTGCAACCAAAGCTGCTTTGTTCGATGTTCAACATCGAAGCAGAGTGTAATCTCTTTGAAGGTGTTATTTACAGAAGGGCAACACTCATGACATGCCACGGATCGGACGTTTATTTGATATTTCTGTTCAACACTACAACCAGTACAACACAGCTCGGTCACTTCCTGGGTGGAGACCAACGAGTGACAGAACAATATGTAACAAGGTATAGATAATAAACCCCAAACTGTTATGCATGGGCATTCATGCATACTCAACAACTATCTGATTTAAGATAATGGATGTATGTATACAAAGTGCAATCTAGGAGATGATTTTATTGTTTAGCTAATTTTCGGAATATGTCTATGTTTACAAACCAGTAGATGTTGGTGTATCAGATGTCGTCGAAGACGTATCTGCAAGAATCAAGAAAAATAACACTCATCACCCATGTCATATAATACTATACAAACAATGTGCATATACATTTCCTTTGTTAAATACTGTTCTATGCACGTCTTCTCATGGGCCTGGCGTATGTGTCCTGCTTTATCCTTTACTTACTACACAAGTTATGCTTAGCCTCGTCTGTGTGTCCTGCTTTATCCTTTACTTACTACACAAGTTATGCTTAGCCTGGTCTGTGTGTCCTGCTTTCTCCTTTACTTACTACACGAGTTATGCTTAGCCTCGTCTGTGTGTTCTACTTTATACTTGACTCACTACACAAGTTATGCTTAGCCTCGTCTGTGTGTCCTGCTTTATCCTTGACTCACTACACAAGTTATGCTTAGGCTCGTCTGTGTGTCCTGCTTTACCCTTTACTCACTACACAAGTTATGCTTAGCCAGGTCTGTGTCCTGCTTTATCCTTTACTCGCTCCACAAGTTATGCTTAGCCTCGTCTGTGTGTTCTGCTTTATCGTTTACTTAGTTGCAATAACTACCCTAGCATATGAGTTTTGTTTTGTGCATGTATTCTGCTTTATCCTTTACTCACTTCGTTTATCCTTACTTAGTCCCAATAACTACCCTAGCCTATAAGTTTTGTTTTGAGCATGTATTCTGTTTTATCTTTTACTCACTTCTGCTCTATCCTTTACTTATAGTGGCTACCCTGGTATATATAGTCTGCTTTATCCTTTACACACTCCCAGTGGCTACCCCTGATTATGTGTTCTACTTTCTGTTTACTCAGTAGAAACCCGATCTCTGCTGTTGTAGCATGCTAAACTGGCACGTAGAAAGGAAGTATATATTACACGTTGTAGCGACATTGCCAAACAACCTCCTAGTCAGATAAGGACAAGCATTGTGGATGAACAACACGAATCAATATCGAAACGTCGCATCACCTAAATAAAGAAGTTGTTCATCCAAAAGGTTTGACCTTATCTGACTCTCCAACTTCTAAAATATGTTGCTCTAAGAAGTAAACCTCCTACACCAAATCGATCATAATCGATCAGTAAATACTATAATGCCATATAATTCCACAATCTGATAAAGCAATTTGATTTGTCTATATCTGACATGTTATCAATCATTCATTGGCCATTTATCAAATGCAGTCAAATGCAAGGTTCATGAAAATAATATGTACTGGCGCATTTCCTTTGAGTTCTTATTAATTGGTTACAGTCATTACATGTGCGTATGAGCTTGTTTTTATCTTCGTTTTTTATACAACCAGGAGAAGGCATTTGCATGACTCATTATGATACTTCACACATTTCAACCTACCTGTCATTGTCCCAGGTGATGTCGAGGCATTCACTAGTAACAGAAATATTGATAATTAAACCAAACATCGTATTTATTCATTAATCAAGACATTCGCACGTCACCTTTGTATCACACACACGTTGCTGGACAAAAGAAAGTATGCAAAATTAAAATACAAAAACAAACAAAAAACAAAGAAAGTAACAACAACAACAACAACCTCCCCAATAAAAATAAATAAAATGAATAAATAAAATTAAAAAAACAAACAAACAAAAAACAACCAATAACACAACAACAAACAATCAAGCAAACAAAAACCATTTCAAATTAGAACGTATTGTGTCGGCGAAGCACGGCAAACTTGAGTTCAATCACACAACTGTGATGATTCTAGTCATATTCACCATCCATTAACCACTTCTCGTGTGTTTTAGTCTAGCTTCCACTAACCAACATTGTACACTATCTGGTGTCACAAGTCGCATAAGACACCCTTTCATTCAAACTACTATGGTGGCGGTGGGGTAGCCTATTGGTTAAAGTGTCCGCTCGTCATGCTGAACACCCGGGTTCGATTCTTGTGTGAAGCCTGTTTCTGGTGTCCCCCGCCGTGATATTTCTGGGATATTGCCGAAAGCGGCGTACCATACTCACCCACACGACAATGCCCATACCTCGTACACAAAGGAAGAGATTTCTGTTTTCCACAGACACAGGCAGTGGTTAACATTGAACGAAAGAATGACACCCGGTGTTCCGAAAGGTCAGAAACAGATGTCAGCGTACGCAATGAGAAAATGTTGTTTAACGCCGCACTCAGCAATAGTCCAGCTATATGGCGGGGGTCTGTAAATAATCGAGTCTGGACCAGACAGTCCAGTGATCAACATGATGAACGTCGATCTACACAATGTGCCAACAAAATGTCAGCGAGCCCGTTAGTCGCCACTTACAGAAAAAATATAATGCTTATCGAAGCAATACCGTTTTCAGTATTTTCAATTTCACACAGACAAAACAAATGACGTACTATTGGGCTATCTATCAACATAAAGTGTTTTGTGTATTTATATGGAATGCGACTCACAAGCTTTATCCACTCATTACTAACTTCTATACATCTGCCGAAACAGGTATCCATTGAATGGTATTGTCAGTCTATGCAATACAACAAGAATATATTGGTGAGTGAGTGAGTGACTTAAAATTCAAAGTCACATCGGCAGTATTTTAGCCGTGACTGTGTCGTGACTATGAATGTTACAATTTTTTTAATTTATTAAGAATAAAAACAAGCGTAGTCAACATACAGTTACCTGTCTGCAAATGACTTTAAAATAACTAGTCTATGACAGCTTTACACGTAAGAGTAATATACTCATGCCAATAATTGTTGTCACCCCTCCCACCCCAACCCCCACACACACCCCACCCCTCTCCAATTAAAAAAAAATGAAGGGGGTGACAACTACTATTGGCATGAGTATATATAACCATAACACGCTATTCCTAGATGCAACAATACAATATCAAAATGAGCCAACAACTGAAGGAAGATCACCATGCTAGGGACCATAGGGACTTACAGAACCTTTTGTACCTGCATGGACCCTAGCTGGATTTACACCATCCCTTTAGCTGGTGGCAATTTAGACAAATTTAGCCATTAATGTAAATGAACATGTAGACTACGATTAAACAAAGTGGTCAGATTAAATATAAGACGTGGTCTTAAATACACTCTCAGGGGACAATATTTTTACAATACTTTAACCCCCTTTGAGGATACAGCCACAACAATCTCAGCTACTAATTTGATCTACCAGATATAAAATACCATTGATCTATTTACAAAACACATTATTCAAAGGAGCATACTGTTCTTACCACAGGACGTCGAAGCCAGGATCACTAGCACCACCATCAGAGTATAATCCTGCGACATTTTTCCTCGAAGCAGCAACTGTGAAAATATTGCTGATACCACAACCACTGTCCTTTAACAGTTAGCATAGGGTGAATGATAACCTTGAGGTATATCTAAGAAAGTGGGCCAGATTGTTGCCCAATAGACACTTCATGCATTGCAAATCTCTAAATAAAACATTTTGGACGGACATCAGATTTCAAAGTAAACTTTGAAGGATATGTCAACGTGATCTGGAGGACATCTACCGGACACCTGTACATAGCAAACATCACGTAATGCAACACTGGCGTGTGTTGCTTGTAATCCATAAACAGGAGGGATTGGCATACACATATGAACTGATACTACGGGGATTAAAACGTTTAGAGGGGCGTTAACGTGAGTGCATTATACAACAGTATAATGTGTCTAGGTGGGGTATTCATGCTTCACTGCGGCATGGTATCTCAGTGGGCTAGCACTATAAAACCAGCTTAAGTCTGGGCTAGTACAAGCAGCCACACATACACATACACACGCATGCACGTCGACATATGAGCGAAATATTGTCAAGCACGACGTTAAACCCAATTTCACCTCACCTCACCTACACGTCACCACACGTCACCACACGTCACTTCATCTAGTTCCGTACCTAGATTATGGACTATGGACACAGACGCTTGACTGAAGGACGCTCAACTTACCAGTTACATCAAATAAACAGGACAAAACTGTACTTGACGCTAATGAGGTACAATCTTTTGACGACAGCTTTTAGGAAGTACCACCATGCATGACACGTACTACCTTCCAGAATGCTGACAGACGTGGAACAATCCGGTGATTGTATCGAGTGTCACATCATACTGCTCTCAGCGGAAAACTTGCTACATTGCGTCATTCCCTTACAAAACTGAACTCTTGCCAATATATATTTCCCTTACAGGAAAAATGAATTACATTTTGAAAACTGTAAAGCTAAAAGAAATCGGCTACAGATTGAAGAGTGGGTGAGTGAGATTCATTTTACGCCGCTTTTAACAATATTCCAGCAATATCGCGGGGGGAATACCAGACATGTGCTTCGCACATTGCACCCATGGGGGAAATTGAACCCGGGTCTGCGGCATGACGAACGAATGCTTCAACCACCAGGCTACCCCACCGACCCAGAGATTGGAGTGTTATGAGGGTATGTTTACACCGAGACGGGTGACAGACACGCGACACTTTACGACACAACACGTCACCACACGACACTACACGTGCGGTGTAAAACTAAACTCTTGAACCTTGATGCGTTCATGAATGTCACTGATCTCGTGACAGAAAAAGCGGGGTATTGCTCAATTCACTTTAGGCTCTTTGAATGCCTGTGATATAACACATTCATCCTATAAGCTCAAAGTCCAGCTTGTTGATATTTCTATGAACACAGCTTTGCCTGCTCATGTTGAATCAGGGCACCTACTTGTGGCCGACCATACCATGTACTTTTATTAAGCAGCTCAGCTATCTGCTGGGGATACATTGTCAGTATTCTGTTTACATTAAACATGTGACAGTGTATTATGCATACGTGTTGTAACAACCGGCTTAGACTAAGATCAGGTAGGTTTAATGTGCGACCTGACCAGTGCTTCTTTCTTTTTGAACAGCAGTTCAGCGGGTCCAGTTTTCAATGGGTTTGCGTGTTTTGTGCCGATAAAATTGAAAGACGGGTTCTTATACCACCTTCCATTCGAAACCATCACAAGCGAATCCGTGCAACAGTAAGGGAAGCAACTGTTGTCCACTTTGACTGCGTGCAGGAATGCCTCAACGGTTATAGCAGCCTTAAAATACTTGACAGGAATACGCCTGTCTCGACCTGACGCACACGCTTGGACCTTTGCAATTTTGTTAAGCAATATTTTTGCAGTGTTGGTTGTTTGTTGGTTGGTTGGTTTGTTCTTTAACGCCGCTCTCACCAATATTCCAGCTATATGGCGGCAGTCTCTGTATAACCGAGTGTGGATCAGACGATCCGGTGATCAACAGCATGAGCAACGATCTACGCAATTGCCCAGCTCTATGGCGCCGGTCTGTAAATAATCGACCAGACAATTCAGTGATCAACGCAACTGAGATACGATGACATGTGTTAACATGTCAGCCAGACCCCGTTAATCGCCTCTTACGACAAGCATCGGTTGCTGAAGGCTAATTTTAACCCGCATCTTCACTCAAAAAGTACTTTACAGGCAACATCTAACGTCTTGGAGTACGACAACACTCAAGCAAGGTTATCGCTCAGCCCGGCTACCTACTCAAATCGCGTTGTATAACTATCATCGATAGCTGCAATATATTCCAATGCAAGGTCCCACACAAGAATTACACTTCATAACAACTGCATAATTTACAACAAATTTTAGGTAACGTCACAAAATGTCATGAGATAATATCATGAATGGATTGTTACATTATTCTTCTACACGATCACCGCCCTCCGAACTCATACGACCTGAAACAAATGGAAGTTTTTTTTTACCATACCTCCTCTAGAGACACACTTCCCAGACATAAAATCCCACAAGAGACCGTCATAAATTGAGTGAACTGAATTAATGGACCATCAAACTCCCATGACTCGTACAAAAGGTGCACATGGTTTTCCACAATAAAAAAAATATCCGTAACGCATGAAAACGCCTCACGAAAACAGTTTTGAACTGTTACACAAATGTGCACCCTCACTGTTGTACTGTTGTCTTCAGTTTTAGAAATGGAAACAGCATTGGGATCAGGCAAAACCCATGCCATAAAAATCATCGTCTCCTCAACAAAGAAGACTGCAACGTACGTAACGACCTTACATGGAGATACTACTTCGGTACTGCTAAGCATTATATATGCAAACACACACACATATATATATATAATATTATATATAGATACACCCACACGATCGCGAGTCCTTGCATGTGTCCACTGGCTCGACGGTGCAGTTTACATCTTCACTAATTTAGCCAATCAGTGCTGGAGAAGCATTGTAGTGATGTCTGTAATGTTCGACCTAGTGCTGTGTGTAGTTCTGTTAAGAACGATGAAGGAGATACTGCTTGTCCTCCCTTTCTTTAGTTCACTCGCCATCGCACAAGAAGTTTTGGGGCATTTCTTTGCAAGACGTGAAACTCTAGACAACCAGAAGGCTGGAGAGATCCCTTCTTACGTACTTCGTACTGATATGCTGAGATGCACGATACTCTGTTCCGGAGATGACGCCTGTGCTGCTGTGACCCATCTTGAAGGACAGTGTTTCTTCTACAGTTCATCTCTGGCAACATCTGGCTTACCAGCTCCAGGTGCCAATAGACTCATATCTGACGTTGCAGCCCCTGGTGCCAGAACATTCTTCAAACAAGGTGAGTCATATGCCCATTGGATTGAATTCATGTTTTAATGATTTGTATATGTTTGAAGGTCAATAACTGATCTTTTGTCTTGAATCCTCCACGGGGTATCATCAATATTTTCTCCTTGTGTCCATGGTTCTTAAAAATTGGTCAATCATTAAAGCTTGAGGTGTATATTTTCATTTATATAAGTTACGATTTGACTAAAATTATATATCCTTTAAATGACAATCTTGAAGCAACAGCTGTAAGTAGCTTTATTAAAGGTGTGTTCGGAGGCCAAACTTGAACGTTTGTCATTAACCCCCTTCATCCACGGGGTAGCATCAATATTATTTCCTTTGCTTATATACGTGTTTTTGACTCTATGAAAAAAATTGATAACACAGCCGGAAATATAATACTATTCTGTCAACCTCCTTAGATGCTCTTGATTTAATAGTGATGATGAAATTCAACCACAGGCTCAACTTGAATTTGAGACAATGATACAAGAGTAGAACAAATTCTCCAAGGCTGGGGTCACTCTTAGGTTCTCCGTTCCATTCCCCACAAACAGTGTATTCAAGGTGCTAAGGTGCAAGAGTGCAAAACATACACTTACATGAATGAGTGAGTGAGTGAGTGTGCAAAAATTTTAGTCACACCGGCAATATTACAGCCATATCGTGACTAAAAAAGTCATTTACTGATAAAAATAAAGCTTTATTATAAAATCTGTTGAGAATTAAAGCTAGATTGTAACTTTAATACCAAAGCTACATTTTGGACAGTACAATACAGAAGCGGGATATAGATCGCCAGCAACTGAAGGTAGATCCCCATACTAGTTTGGGGGGATGTACAATACCTTTGCTACCTGCATGGAACCTAGCTGGATTTACGATTTACACCATCACTTCAGATATTGGCGATTGTGCTCTAATTTATCCATCACTTAAAACACAAATATTCTACGATTAAAACCAAGTAAATATAAAATTTACGTCGAATATTTTGGAATTTATGTTCAAGGGATGCGTGGCTGGTACATTGTAAAGGCCAGATATCGTTCCTAATATATACGTGATTACACTCTCAATGTTGCATTTCTTGTACCATGGATAACGATGCCATAAAATGATGCTGCCCTTGTGGTATCCAGGTCCGTGCCCCGTGTCTCAAGGCTACACGTCAGTCCCGTCAGTTGACCTGTGTTTCAAATACCAAGAGATGCCAATGACTTGGACAGCTAACCAAGATCAATGTGAGAGTAACGGCGGCCGCCTGATCATCCTGAACACGGTGGAGAAACGTGACTACATCGTTGCCACATTGGGTAATAAGTACATATATCGTAAGTACCCTTGTTCGTCTATTTTACCAGACGTCTAAATTAATTCACTTATCTGTGAACAGGGTAGTATATGCTTAGTCGAGATCTCGGGAATGCTGGAAATAACATGGGGTATAATGAGGCTGCTACTGTTTTAACGTATTTCATTTGTATTTATTAATGAATTGTTTCATTTCTTCTTATTGTAGCGTATGTTGGTCTCCAAAAGTCTGGTGGAGCGATCAGCTGGACAGACGGTTCAACCTATTTCCCTGGAAAACATTCGTTCTCCACAAATGGATGTGGACACCTGTATCGTGGGTACATAACGTCTTATTATTGCCATTGGAAACGGCCATCCTTTTGTGAAATACCGGTGTAACAATGGACAGATCAGGTATATTGTCCATCTGGCTGAAACCAGTATGTTATCGGGAAGCGTGAAACAAGAATATCATACGATCAACGCAATTATAATTATTATGTATCATTCGAACAATAACAGGCTCACTTGAGCATTCCCATTTCACTTCACATACAATCAAATACTGTTGTCTTGTACACTGGATCATAGATGGATTCACAGCATGTGGCAGTGTACATTGGAAACATTTGACCAGTACAGATATGCAACCGCCTGCCCGCCTATTTGAAAAGTTCAGTAATCTATTCAAGGTATGAAGCATTATTCCGGGTATGAAGCATCCTGTTCCGGGTATGAAGCATCCATTCCGGGTATGAAGCATCCTATTCCATCCTATTCCGGGTATGAAGCATCCTATTCCGGGTATGAAGCATCCATATTCCGGGTATGAAGCATCCCCTATTCCGGGTATGAAGCATCCTGTTCCGGTTCCTGCAGCATCAGCAAATCAAAGGATCAAGGCAAACATAAGACATTCGCGCTGTTCCAGTACTCAAAGTGTGTCTCTTGCTAGCAAACTGCTGACAGTGTTAATATTCATCACTACCTTCAGAAGACACGGTTCAGAATTGATCTTCTGTAACCCATGATTGTCGTAAACGGCGACTAAAGGGATCGGGTGGTCAGGCTCACTGTCTTGGTTGACACATGCCATTGTACCCTATTTGCGTAGATCGATGCAATCACTGGATTGTCTGGTCCATATTCGATTATTTACAGACCGCAGCCATACAGCCGGAATATTGAGTGGCGTTACACAAAGAAATAATACCCATCACAATATGACAGAGTCTCTGTTTTCAAACCTGTTTTGGCTATTATTTTAAAACCACATTTCGTATCTTTTAAGATAATAAAAGCATATAAGTTCATCATTACGTGTTGCTGTATTATTGTCTCGTTCATTATACCCACTATTGGCGACGTGAGGTTGCTGTCATCAGTGGCAGGACAGTGACAATAAAGACGTCATCGGAGAAAAATAGGACCCGAGGCGTAAAATGCGTGTGGGTGTTGAGGGACACCAGGCCCGTAATTCCCTGCAAATGTCAAATATAACGGTAGTTCCTTTTGTAACAGTGTTCCGTTTTCTGCCTAACGGGACGGTTTCTCATACAACCGCGAAGGAGGGTTTCTCATACCACCGTGAGGGAGGGTTTCTCATACCACCACCTTGAGGGGAGGGTTTCTTTATCACCGTGAAGGAGGGTTTGTGTTACCACCGTGAAGGAGGGTTTCTCTAACACCGCGAAGGAGGGTTTCTCTAACACCGTGAAGGAGGGTTTCTCTTAATACTGTGAAGGAGGGTTTCTCTTAATACCGTGAAGGAGGGTTTGTGGTACCACCGTGAAGGAGGGTTTCTCTTACCACCGTGAAGGAGGGTTTCTCTTAACACCGTGAAAGGAGGGTTTCTCTTAACACCGCGAAGGAGGGTCTCTCTCTTAATACACCGTGAAGGAGGGTTTCTCTTAACACTGTGAAGGAGGGTTTCTCTTACCACCGTGAAGGAGGGTTTCTCTTAATACCGTGAAGGAGGGTTTCTCTTAACACTGTGAAGGAGGGTTTCTCTTACCACCGTGAAGGAGGGTCTCTCTTAAGGACCGTGAAGGAGGGTTTCTCTCCGAACACCGTGAAGGAGGGTTTCTCTTACTGTGAAGGAGGGTTTCCTCTTAATACCGTGAAGGAGGGTCTCTCTTACCACCGTGAAGGAGGGTTTCTCTTAACACTGTGAAGGAGGAGTTTCTCTTAACACCGTGAAGGAGGGTAGCCCTAGGAGGTTAAACACCGTTAAGGAGTCACGCCGAAGACTTCATACCGTTCGATTCCTCACGTGGGTACAATGTGTTTAAGCCAACATTCTGGCATCAAGTCGGAGAACACCAGAATTGAGATTTACAGATTGTGCCGATTGGGAATCGAGGCGTAAAATGCGTAAACTGTTGAGGGACACCGGCCCGTAATTCCCTGCAAATGTCAAATATAACGGTAGTTCCTTTAACAGAGTTCCGTTTTCTGCCTAACG